AAAAGTATTTTGTAGCTCAATTTATTCTGGAACACCTATGGCATCAACAATCTCTTTAATGGATCTTTACATAAATTACTGAAAATGTTAAATCGAACGACATGTAATACAACCAATTTGTATCTTGTCTTTTCCTATGTCCTTTCAGCAGTGTCTCTATATGTCTAAATATGATCCTAGCTCTTGCAAGGTTGTGAAATCCTTAACAAAGCAAAGCTAATACAGTAATGCTTTTAGCAGCACTCGATTATCAATTGTTTTTATCTTTTTTCTCTTCGATATCGATAACGCTAAATGCTGGTAAAAATTACGTTTGACTTAGTTAAAGACATTACGTTTCTTATCGGTATTTCAAAATAACAAAATGGATGTGTATGTATCGTTATTCTTTCAACCATTATATAACCCAAATATATTTTGCAAAATGTATATAAGTTTTCCTGACTGAGAACAGTCATGTTTACCTATGCTCGTCGTGTTTCGTTCATTCCAGATCTTGGTGATAAGTTCGGGAGTGAGATTGTGTATGATTACAGCACACTGGATATTTAGATAATGCAAGTATCCGTCCATTGCATAAACAAAATGATCAACAGGTTTTATAGAAATTCCTAGTTTATAAGCAACTATTCCGACATAAACATCCTCAAACATGAAGGTTTTTGTATGCGTCATTTCACGGTAAAGTTTTCGTGCGGTTGGTAACGTCATCACATATCCGGGACCCCCGCAATATGGCGGATACTTTGCAAAAGGGTATTCTTCAAAAGAAACACTAAATTTGGTCGTCAGTCTGAATGGTGCCGTTTCCGGTAAACAATCACCAAGAATGATGTCGTCTGGCAGATAGTTTTCGACTTTTTGTATTTCTTGCAGAAATTTAAGATGAAAATAAACATCATCGTCGATTTTTAAAAAGTAACGGGATTCATAGCACGAATGAGTGGCCCAGTTAAAAGCTTCAATTACTTTTTCTGTTATATTAAAATAGTTTTCGTTGACATCAACACGTAAAACATCTTCGTTCTCCATATGAAGCTCGTGATATTCAACATTTTTCTCGTTACCGAGAACGAAATATAAACTGAAGTTGTACTTGATTTGCATTTGTGGATGACCCCATGTTTGTCGAACGGTTTTCCGCTGTAACGAATTGGACGGTTTGTTTAGTACCATAATGACAGTGTTTTTTGTTGCATGTTCCATACACTTCAATTTTGGATGCATAAAAACTTGTTTCTCCTTTCTTTCTTCGTTTAGTTGGGTATTCTGTGATATTCCAGAAACTGTAAGTGGTTCGTATGAGTCAAAACATACGTAAGATAGGATCACAATGACAACAAAGCCGAAGAGAAATATCCGTATCCTCTTTCCGCGTGATGTACATCTACAACGATAGAAAATATATATAAGCAACTTGAATGTATTAAGATCAATTTTGTAATCCGCACCTGATGGTTATAGGTTTCTTAATCAATTATTTATTTGATTGCTAGTTGTACAAGGCTTAACGTCTTATCAACAGCTATGATCAGTTAACTTACCTCTATGTGTGTTGTGTATGCGTGCTTGTGTGTATGCTGGAGATTGATAATGTTGTTGTATTTGGCTCCTTGTAATCGCGCGGATCTCATGCCAACTTGCTATATCCCTGAAAAACAATGTCGAATGCATCCAGCACAGCATCCCGTCAGGTCACATTATACTGACAACGGGTGAACCAGGAACGTTCGCCCAGGCGGGAAAGGCTTTGGGTTTTGTCCCCAAGCATCTAGGGAAATTGCAACACCTGGTTCACCCGTTATCAGTATAATGTCACCTTAGTTGTTAATGGGATGTTAAACAAAATAACGCCAAACCAATATGGTTATATTTAAAACAAATTATATACACCTCTATATATAAACATGGCATAACGCACAATGTTATGTTGCCTGCCATCTTGAATTTATATGTAAATTGTTTTTTTTTAATACAGTTATATCGATACAATATATATATGCATATGGTTTAATCAATGTGTGCATGGCATAACACACAATGTTTACAAGCCTGCCTTAGATCCCCCCTATCCACCCCACCCCCTCCTCCTTATTGTCTTTACATTTACACACTGGTACTGGTCTCATGATTGATAGCCTTTGATATAAATATATGTGTTGGTATCATGGATAATTAAAATCTAACTTATACATATGATAACAGTTATATCTGTTATGTATCACAACTGTTAACTCATCGAACAGTCTTCTCTAGATATATTAGTTACCACGGATACACTAAATATTATAATTGTGTCATGTGTACTTTTTGTATAAAATACTGACTTCATGTTTTCATTAATAATGTTTCGTTGCTTCTACATGTATATATCTATTACTTGTTTAACTTTTAATTATCATACACATCTCAAATATAAATGTCTGCTCATCAGAGCTTTACAGATAACTTTATAAGTCACACTGCTAGAACTAATCATTTTAAAAGTTCATTTGTGTACACATGTTCTGTTTTATTGAATTGATTGAATGAAAATATTAGAAATGTTTTGTAAACAAAGCTGACCCCGTTTGCCTCGATGGTGTTTGTTTAGGGTAAAATGTCCTTGCAACAGCCAGGGTCATATGAGGACGGGTGCTTAGGTAGCATTGCCTGAAACAGAAAGTAGATAGAAAAGAAAGAAGACAGGAAAGACAGGAAACAGGAAAGATCCCAAGTGTTGCAAGGGGGCCGGTCAGCAGCTAAATTTTGGTCTCGTCCATTGTCTTCTTCGTAGACACGGTAGAAAAACCCCGATACTGCAGGGGTCCCAACATTTGTCACCTTTTACATGCAGTGGAATACAGCAGGTCTTTAAAAAAAGAAAAGGTAGAAACCGCTCCCGATTATTTAAGAAGCCCCCACATCGATCGCCTTTTACGATCACGCAGTGGGATACAGAAGGCTTATTCTTTCCCGAACCTGCAAGGGTACCTCGATGGTGTGTACGTCCTGTTGACACACGGGTGTATAAATATGTATTTAATGTTAAAGCTTCTTCTATACCTTGATGTGTGTATTTATGCTGTTTTTTATTGTTATTTAGTGACTGTATCTAAAAACCCATGTTATATGTACTTGTGTGAAGGATCAATGCGTCTCGGCCCTCCAGGGTTTCCGTATTGAAACGGGTACGACTTACAGGTATATACATCTTTGAAACATGATTCTTTTGCACATCTAATTGATATACTTGATATTCTGAATACATGTTTTATAGCAATCCATATCAGATGTAATTAATATACATGTCCAGGGATGTGCCAGATATAAATAAGATATCTTTCCTGGAGATAAATGTGTTTCATCTGCCATTGGATATTATATGAAATCCTGATACTTAACTAAATATTGATATTGTTCATTTAATTGTCACATCATAAGGAAATGAGTCTGAACATGTGGAAACAGAAAGCAATCCAAATGATATTTGCAACGAAGAATCACATGTAAGTAACTACATCACTGATTGTGATATGAAAATAGAATCTCACCCTGGCAAACCTTTGAGAAAAGGTAGATTAAATAGTATGGGGGAATGTTTATTTACCGTAACTACACTGCAAATATCAATCAGAAATTCTTACAAGGCTGTTTATATAGACCACTAGACTCTTACATAAACTACTGAAAAATATTCTTCAATAGAAATTTTGATAATCTGATACATAAATGTAAATATTTGCACTATTAAATCTAACTCCTATCTCTAAAGACGTATGAAAATATGGAATAATTTGCCTCGTAAATGAACCAACACGGGTTTTTCCAGAGAGTGCTACTTCAATTCAATTCAAATTAATATGGTTACAAATATGTATGTTAGTACACCTTTCTGCAGTGTCATACCAGTGTCTTATTGTGTTTCATACAAGATTTATTTTGAAATGATCATCACGTTGATTTTTATAGTGTGAACAATGAACTTATTGATCTTAAGGGACTAGTTATTCCTCAACATCAACACTCTAATAAATTAAAAGCAGCATTCACCCTTACGTCATATCCATATTTTAATACAGGAAGCACACACACACTTTTTTTGGACGTTTATTTCTAATGATCCTAATAATACTTAAACTTATGCCATTTTTGAACATTTATATTTTTTTACCAGATAAGTTAATAACTGTTAGGCCTAGGCATATACAATGGGTAAATGGTGCTATGAGAAAGTAAGTGAGGCAGTGAAATAGATTTTAGCACAGAACATTGGAATAGCATTAGGTTGATAAGAGGTCATTAATGTAAACAGTGAATCTATAAAGGAACTACAAAAATCACTTGATAATGCTATAGCTGTTTATAAATGGTGTAAAATTACCAAATCAGCTACACATTTTGATAAATAGCTTACACCTATCACCCCCGCTAGACTATTATGACATGTATTTCACTCCACCCACGTGAAAAATCAGAATATCTCGATCACCATTTCACATTCTTTTATATACCTTATTTAGAATTTCCTGATTTATATGTGTAATATCCTCCTTTTCCTCTTTCAGATATTATAGTTACTGATCAAGATGTTATTGACCATATATTTTATGCATTAAAAGAGAAAATATATTTCCTGATCAAGACTGTGTTAAATCCAATGTAGTTTAAACCTTGAACCGTCTTTAATATCACCCTTGATATTACTTTTAATAAACACTTTGTAGTGGAAAAAATGCCAAGGCCGTTTTCGTTTAAGCGGTTGAACTGGTCGGACCACATTTGTTCGTTTATTAAATATGGTCGGACCTAGTAAACGGATGACAAAGCCTTGCAAGGCCTGAATAGACCACCAGGATTTATACCCGGAATCGTACATTTAAAGCATAAACGAACAGGATCTAGATGTATGGGAGCTATATAATGTGTAAGTAGTATATAAAGGACGGGAAGGGACAATTTATATCTATTTCAATACCTTGTGGTTTTATGAAAATTCCGAATACATCATTTTTATTTATAGGTTTCCTTTCTTCATATAAATAATTAACTGCTGGTGTCCCACAGGGTTCTGAACTTGATCTATTTTATTTCTACTCTTTATCAACGCTACAACTTATTTTTGTCTAGTACGATTAAATTATTTGCAGATTATACTTCATTATACGTGATAGTTTGATGACTTAAACTAAATAAAATTATTTCTAATGTTAAGTATAACTAACATTTTTGCGTCACTATTCATGAAACTGAATCTTGAAATATCCAAATAACAAATATTTGAGGAATAATATAAAAGATTTATTTAATCAAGTCAATGAATTAAAGATTAAGTAGAAATTCATTAAATAAATTGCATGTATCTGATATCCGACAACTTCCAGATATGCTGATTTTGTTTCGGATAAATGTGTATAATAATCAACAGATTGTATTGAATCTATACATCTAGAAATCGCAATGCTGATAGTAGGTATTAGGAAAGTAGCTCCACGTATAAAAGTATATTAGCAATATATATAGTATATTAGGGGATAGGAAACACTTGAAGAAAGAAGGAAAAGACCCAAGTTAGTTTTTATGTATAAGATATTACATTATGCAGCCCCTACTTACAAAATCCTTTTATAAATCATTTGGAACCACGTATGTACGCTTTACCTAGGAATAGGTATTTTAACATTCCCTTAATGTAGGTCTAACAGTTAGTATATGAATAATCACTTTTTGCAAATTGAAACTATGTATGCCTTATCCGTTGCAAAAGTGAAATAGTTAATTTTATATCGTTTAAATGCCCGTCGATGCTTGAAGTCATTTATAGTCAAACAACACCAAATATATAGACGATTACAAAATTGATTTCATCTTTTAACTTCAAACTTGAAATGGAGAGGATGCAAAAGCGTCAATAGAAAATCTCATCTAACTAAAACGCAATTTACCTTTAATGCTTAAAAGGCCTCTATTTATGCAGCTTAAAGAACCATAACAGAGGTAAGTAATAAATTGTGTTGATGACACTAGCCGTAACCTGCATGCATGAATAATGTTTATTTTCATATGATTGTATTTGGTGTAATAGGTTGGAAAACGTGTGTAGTAATTAAAGGTACTGTTTGACCAATTAACAAAAATCCTTCTTTCTTGACAAAATACAAATGTTACACAATACTTACACGGCTGAATAGAAATCAAATATTTTATTAAGGCCTACTATGCCTCGGTTTTGTTTTGTTTGATTTAGTTTAGAGTTCTACCAACTGCTAACGTTATCTAAGGTTGGATATACACCCAAACGTATGCCTACTTGGATACGAAGATACGAAGTTTATTTACCTCTTTACGTCTTCATTTTAGACTACTTGCACAGACGTCACGTACATACCACCCTTTATTTGTTCATTT